AAATTCCTGTCTTAATCCTTTTTTCGTGGTCTGACACTGTCACATTTTTCATTACGTGTTAATCTTCGTGATTTACACACACACACACACACACACAATATGTATATAATGTTATTATTAGCTTTTTCTCATACAGAACTACCTCCTCGCAGTGGAACTAGAACCAACTCTGACTCACGCTCATGTCAATCTTGGAGCTCTGTACCATACAAAGGTGAGGTCTATCATGCACTACCCTGCGCCCTATTGGTATAAATCCAATATGCCCTGTACTGTCCCATCACTTGAGAATGAACCATGTAGGTTCGAAACGTTGAGTAAATTTATAATAAGTGTAATACATTCTACAGTTAATTATTTATTTTTCTTCACCTCGTACAAAGATGGTATTTGGAGAACTCCTCTTCTAATTAAACCAAGATGCAAGAGCACTAGTCAGAAGGATAGAAGATCTAAAAAAGAAAATAATCAGCACAGAATATGCAGTTATATTCAATGAAACATATATATATATATATATATATTAGTATATTTTGGTAGCAGTCTTTCCTGTAGACATATTTTATTAAATATGACCGAAAAAGTAAGATTAATAATTCTAACACGAATTTTCTCAATCTTTCGTACATTATGCTTCACTGTTGGAGGTAAATCAAAAATCACTTCTCCAAAATTCATTTTTATTTCTAGTCTGACGCGACACGGGCGCGTTTCGTAAAACTTATTACATTTTCAAAGACTTCACAAATACACAACTGATTAGAACTTGCATTCCCTGATTTTATATCTACTTTTGAGTGAGGTGGGAAGGGTGATGTGGCATTACATTTGAGTGAGGTGGGAAGGATGATGTGGCATTAGAGGATATTAATAGGGTATATAAAAGTATCAACACAAGACAGAACACGAAACATGGATATTGAATAGAAGTGTTTGTAGAAAGCCTATTGGTCCATATTCTTGATGCTTATATATTGGAGCGGAGTCTTGAGGTGGGTAGAATATAGTTGTGCAATAATTGGCTGTTGATTGCTGGTGTTGACTTCTTGATGTGTAGTGCCTCGCAAACGTCAAGCCGCCTGCTATCGCTGTATCTATCGATGATTTCTGTGTTGTTTACTAGGATTTCTCTGGCGATGGTTTGGTTATGGGAAGAGATTATATGTTCCTTAATGGAGCCCTGTTGTTTATGCATCGTTAAACGCCTAGAAAGAGATGTTGTTGTCTTGCCTATATACTGGGTTTTTTGGAGCTTACAGTCCCCAAGTGGGCATTTGAAGGCATAGACGACGTTAGTCTCTTTTAAAGCGTTCTGTTTCGTGTCTGGAGAGTTTCTCATGAGTAGGCTGGCCGTTTTTCTGGTTTTATATCCTCTAATGCCACATCATCCTTCCCACCTCACTCAAATGTAATGCCACATCACCCTTCCCACCTCACTCAAAAGTAGATATAAAATCAGGGAAATGCAAGTTCTAATCAGTTGTGTATTTGTGAAGTCTTATATTTAATAAAATATATATATATATATATATATATATATATATATATATATATATATATATATATATATATATATATATATCTTGGAAAAAAGTGTAGTTTAATATTCGAAAGATAACAGTGGTATTATACGGCACAATTTCCATCACAAAGTAAATGGGTAACTATATTCCCCAGGGAGACTACGGTCGTGCTTGGAGACATTACCTGGCTGCTCAAGAGCAGGACCCCTCCAACGCCCTCCTGCTGGAGAACATGGAGAAGCTGCACAGGGCTCAGCACCTCAGCTCCCACACCAGCATCCTTCATTGCATCAACAAGTCCTGATAGCTATGACATGGGATCCTCCTGAAGTTCAGATGTATCATAAGTCCATATCCAACTTATACATCTTACAGGATGTATAAACAGTGATTTTTATGAATAAACACATCATGATGTTCATTTATGAACACACACACACACACACACACATGCGCATAAATCCCCCCATCCATACCTCTGTTACTCTCAATCTGCCGCTATTTGCGTCTCAAAAGTCTCATTTGACTTTTTTCATATTGTTAGATATATGGGTCTGTAACCCACTAGGCATCGCTGAAAGTTTCACATATATCTTTGTAAACACACACACACACACACACACACACACACACACACACACTCACACACTCACACACTAATTACTATTATCAGTACCAGAGTAAGAGTGGTTATGGAACATGTACACAATGTGGTGATGGAATACCAACTTTGATACCTTCTACAATCAAAGTAAACCCAGTAAAATTGTTCAGTTATTTGATCTTGAGCATGTTCTCCTTATTATGTAAATGCTTGGTAGTTCCATGGATGAGGTGCTGGTTACCTCTATACTATACTCCTTCATTTCAGTAATTATACATGTGTACATGTATGTATGGGTGCATATATATATATATATATATATATATATATATATATATATATATATATATATATATATATATATATATATATATATATATATATATATATATATATATTGGTGTATATTGGCAGCAGGTTTTCTTTCAAACATGTTTCATTGAATATGACCGCATATTCTGTATTTATTATTTTCTGGTTTAGGGCTTCTATCCCTCTAACTATTTTCTTAGCATCAGGGCTTAATTGAAATAGGAGTTCTCCAAAACTCATTTTCGTACTTTAAAGGTGAAGAAAAGAAGTGATTTACTAGTAAATCACTTCTTTAATAAAATCACATAAAAAGTGATTTACTAGTAAATCACTTTACTAGTAAATCACTTCTTTTCTTCACCTTAAAAGTACGAAAATGAGTTTTGGAGAACTCCTATTTCAATTAAGCCCTGATGCTAAGAAAATAGTTAGAGGGATAGAAGCCCTAAACCAGAAAATAATAAATACAGAATATGCGGTCATATTCAATGAAATATATATATATATATATATATATATATATATATATATATATATATATATATATATATATATATATATATATATAATGTGTGTGTGTGTGTTTAATTTAATATGTGTGTAAATTGCACACAGTGTATGTTTAGATATGAAACTTAACTATACACATACATACAGTATACTTATCACTAACAGGCTTCCCACTTGTATGGAGTGGTGAGGCATCAACTCGCAGATAGATGGTGAATAACAAAGAAAATGACGGTTATAACATTATGTTAATATAACTTAAATTTACTTTAAACCATTATGGTTTATAACCAAGAATATGTAGAGAGAAATGTGTGTGGCAGATCTTGTGGGGATAACGTAGAGTATATGTCCCTGTGCATGGAGTGTGAGAGAGGCTGCACAGTTGCAAGATGACATATTTTCAACACAGTGATATTTTTGTATACAAAATAAAATATATATAATAAATATTTTCTTGAAATTATATAGTATTTCGAATCCCTTACCCTTACGTAATGGCTTGGTGCTTTTTCGGGATTTCTCCACCTTCCTTTTAGCATTATATGACATAAGTGTATATTTACATGCAACATATTTCATCATAACTAATATTGAAGAAATAAAAGAAAATTTCATAAATGGAACGGTACATGTGTCAGATATGAGTGAGACATCTTAATGGGAAGGGTCAATGAGAAACGGCCGAACAATTAAACTGTTGTGAGGATTTGATGGAGTTGTGTGATCAGGCATGGAGACAATTTTATAGGTAAAAATTATGAGGTGCCTTTGCCCATATTAATGATAATTAAAGGGTATGAATGCACTATACAAGAATATGATGGAGTGAGTGTTTGATATGGGCCAAAAAGTCTATGTATTTGTAAATGTAAGAATGGAAGAACACCAATATTAAGTATTCTCACAACCCAATGTACCTTCCTGTATTTTAAATAAATAAATAAAATAAGTAAGTTCCAGTGTGTAAAGAGAATGGTAAAGGGAGGGATGTGGATTTTTTTTGGGGGAATTAACTGAATGACTGTGTGGAGAAGCTACAAGATGGAGCAACAAGACTTTGTTCTTCACCCAAGACACTGATGCTCTGGTAATTGTTGTTAGAAGATGGCCAAAATTTCAGGTACAGCTTTTCTTGATGTACAATGATTTCCATTGCATGAATATTCTCATCACTTGGCACCATATGGGCTTCTACGTTGCCTGCTTGTCATGCTCTCTCAGGCTGTGACAAAACTTGTGCTTTAGCATGGAAAGGGAAAATTGTCTTACTGGAAAGAATTTAATACAGAAACTGAAGGAATTTTACAAGAACTTAGAACTTTTGGATTATATGAAAGAATTTCTGACTGAGCACGGGGGAAACTTGAAGTATTTATCTGCCATGCCTACAAAACCAGGAATAAGAGAGACAAAACTTGTAGGTCTTCGCTGGTATTTATTTCCTAAGAAGCAGATTGCCTGGGAAAAGCTACAGCCTGTGCAGACGAGGAGCCACAATAACGTGGCAGAAATATGTTGACCAAACCGCACACTAGAAAGTGAAGGGACGACGACGTTTCTATCCGTCCTGGATCATTCTCAAGTCGATTGGGAATGGTCCAGGACGGACCGAAACGTCGCCGTCCCTTCACTTTCTAGTGTGTGGTTTGGTCAACAGCTACAACCTGCAAAAAGTGCTGTGGTACCTGCATTTAGAAGAGTAAACTACCAGGTAATGATTTGGAAGGGACGATGAGGTCCGGCCAACACTCCCACTGAACACGGACGATGGACAAATATCGCCTAGTGTCTATGATTTACCATATGCTCCAAATCACATTCTGTACCTAATCAGGTGCAACTGTATACAAAAACGATGTAGTCCACCATGCAAATGCTTAGCGAATAATTTATATGCACAGTATGAGTGCAGAGGTAATGGTGAACTTTTGTACCAATGCAACTAAACCCACAGCAGAAATAACAGACAATGAAGATGACCTCATACATGATTAATAATAGATATTGATAAGTATTTTCAACATTTGTTATCATCGGTGAGTCGACCAGTTTATTACTAGAAGTAAACTATTAGTATTCATTTTTCATGATAGATCTGATTTACTTGTGGATTCCATCTCATGTTGGCCTCCGAATACATGATAAGAGCTGGTCAGTTAGGCAAGCAATCTGCTTTCAAGTAGGACCTAGGATTGCCTATAAACAACTTGAGAACAATAATAATACACCAAGAACTTCAATAAAACCTTTTGGATCTGAGACAAAGTGAAATCTACATTAGCAATTCCATCAATCATATCATGCTATCATGCCAGAGCCACTAAGTCGACTCATACCAGGAACGGTTGAAGACCTTAGGGCTAACATTACAAACCAGACATGACAGGATTGTACTTATTAAAACATTTAAAATACTGAACAATTTGGAGCATATTGATCCGGAAAACTTTTGTGAAAGGTCAAGTGTAACACAAACAAGGAACAACGGTTACAAGCCTAACATGCTACAATGTAGGACAGAGCAAAAAATGTTTCTTTGCCCCGTAAGATTGGTTTTAAACCCACGGAACCACCTACTCGCTGAGGTCCTATATGCCAAAACACTGCTGAATTTCAAAATCAGCTGGTCGATAAAATCATCAGGACAAATGGGGTTCTCTTTGACAAGGCGCGAGGTTCTTGTCCTTATCGAGGCCACTAGAGAGATGGTGGCTCTCAAGTAAATTCAGGAAAATCAGCTGACTCCAGGATGTTACTATTGCTCGTCTTGGACTCGGTTATCAGGATCTCTAGAAATTTGCACTACCTGCTGAAATAGACTTGACTAAATGTAAACTATAAATCAGGTAGATAAAACTTGTTTAGTATTTAAAGATTTCGTCGAGACCAGTCCTCGGCCTTGTCTGTGTGCATTGTTAGTCCTGTGGCCAATCCTGATATGGCAATTAACAGTTCTATGATGATTTTGGTCACTGTAGGACCTTCTCCTAAGATATGTCTTTTTTGAAGATGGGGTCTCTATGCTTGGATGCAGCAGTCTAGATGGGGGTGCACCAGAGACTTGTACAGTTGAATAACCACTTTCGTTTTCTTGAAGTCGTAGGTTCTTTTGGCTGTTCCTAAGGTTTAGGTGACATTTTTTACTGCAGCCCCTATGCTCATTGAGCAACTTTCAGTGACAGGCGGATCGATACAGATTATGATAAGGTAGAATAGCCTCACTTAATGCTAATGTGTTGATGCTGTTTATCAGGTTTTCAAGGACTTTTCTTGCTATCAGTATTGGGTTCGCTCCCATTAGAGGTTATTTATGCATTAAGAACTCCAAGTATGAGGCAAAGTGTTTGATACTAAATTTGGGATATATTTAAGTTCTGAGGGCGTAAAATGATAAATTTGGGATATATTTAAATTCTGAGGGCGTAAAATGATAATAAAATTCAGAGCCCGTCTTCAGAGCAAATCCATTGCCATGAGAAACAACCACCTGTCCCCCTCACTTCAACCCACCTAGATAGTTATCTAGATATTAGTGATGGTCTAAAAGAATATTACAGTTCCAATAATAGTCTACATGTAAACTGACAAGTAAAACTTTTTCCTGAACAGAGATTATTCTCAAGTTATAGCTTTAGTGATAATATAAATCGTTGGTTTCATATTTAAAATATATATGATGAAAATGTTTTCCTTCAAGAATTTAGTTTTCTGTAAACGGAATTATCGAGTACACACAAATTGTTTTCGAATTTCATATTTCACATTATCGTCAATAATACGCCGTATTAACGTAACCAAGCTTAATGAAATCTAACCCTACCTAAAACCTTAACCTAACCTAACCATGGATGAAACTCTAATTATGTCTTGATATAATTAGTGATAATAACATTAATTATTTAGTCGTTGTCAATTAATTCCCGTGAGAGTATTTCCTCCCTGAGGACAGATTGTAAACAGAATAGATCATGTATGGTTTGACAGAGTCGCTTTGATTGTCATTCAAGTTCAAGTATGTTTATTGAGACAAGAAAGAAATACATCTCAAAGGGATAGAGTAGCTTAGGCTATTTCTACCCCCCTCTACTTCAAGTCCCTCATGGGGCGCACAAATTCAGTGAGTACAAATACACAAATAACAGTACAAGAATCCCATTTAACATTGCAGGTTAATATAGTAAGCACCGCATATAAGTGTGTCATTACTTCAACTAATGACATTCAAAGTGACATACACACATATAAAACTTGAAATTTTGTATGTTTTAATCATTGTAACATCCCCTTTTGTACTATCTAGTAGAAATATTTATTCTCAATGTTAAACGCATATATTTAACATTGTTTATGACAAAAGATAGCTTTCTTGTTTCTGTTTGACGGTGCTTGGTGGTCTCCGCTCTCGACTCACTATCGGGGATCCTGAGTTCAATCCTCAGGTGGGGCAGAAATAATTTCATTTCTCCTGATGCCCGAGGCGAAAAGGAAATTCATTTAGAAATAAATAGGTACCTGGGAGTTAGGCAACTGTCGTGGGTTTGTATTATTTCAGACAACTGAAATAATTATTTTGTGTTACTGGGTCTTCCTTGTCTGAATAAATGAATGGATCTATTAGTAAATTAGATTTTTAACTACTGTACTATCTGTCGTGCAGTGCTATTTCTCTAGCAAGTTTGAGACCATCTGTGACGAGGTGCGTAAGGTGCTAGGAAACGCGCCCAATCATTTCTGTCCCGCCCGGGATTCGAACCCGGCCTCTTTTTTGTTTTTTTTTTGTTTCCTCCTGTAGCGGTCTTCCACGTCTTCGGTTCACAGCCATACCCGGAGTCAATCCTGATTACAGGACAAAAACAGTTGGGCACAATTCCTTTCACCTGATACCTCTGTTCATCTAGCAGTAAATAGGTACCGGGGAGTTAGGCAACTGTTGTGGGTTGCATCCTGGGGAAAAGTTGACTTTGGGGGAACCTCGATAAGTCTATAATCCAGGCTTCCTGTCCCCGACAACGGGAATTATATACTGTGGCTTGCGACGTCAAATCTTTGTACTCTCATCAACCCAATGTACCTTCTTGTATATAAATAAATAAATAAATAAATAAATAAATAAATGTAAAGGGGAGCGGCGGCCCGGCGTGAAGTGTCACTAACCTGACGTCGGGTTCTGTTCATAATTACTAATACTTATCTGAAGGCAGTATCCTCGTTTATGTATTGAGATTTGCTTTCAGTCGATATAGTACTTCTTATATGGATATATATAAATCATATATTTATTATTATTATATATTATAAACCAGTATATTACTATGTCGTCATGATGTACAATGACAGCTGGCATTACATCACTCAGCAAATACAATGTAACGATGATAATTATATTTTTGTTACATTTCAAATCCACAATAGCCGGTAGAAGTGGCTGATAAGGCTATAAATAGTTACGAGACAGTGGCCAACTATCCTATTACTATAACCCCTAATAAACCCCATAGAAGCAATACCCCTATCGTATAGAAGGTATACATAGACAAATACGTATTATAAGTACCCATTGAGAGAGGATGTATTGCGATATATGGAGTGGTTTAGGGGTTAATTGGGAATATATGTAGCGCGGTTGGGAGCGGCAGCCGAGGAGGGGGGCGGCGACGTGGCTGTAGGAGGAACAAGAAGATGCTGTCAGCCGCTGGTGTCAGCTTGGGTAAGGTGTCCTCCTGGCTCGTCTCCTCCAAGCATCTCCTCACCTTCCTTCCACACGTCTGGCCACACTCTACCATGGCACCTCAAGTCCCGTCAATGGCTCTCGCCGACGGCAGGAAGATTCCCGTCTTGGGTCTTGGCACTTGGAAGGTAAAGTTTGTGTCACTTTCAGACTTGTGTTCTATACTCACTTTTGCTCTCATAAACGCTCATGTCTTGAGGTGTTATAAGCTCATTTCTTAAGCTGATGTAAGTTTATGCATCTGTGTAAGCCGTTGTGATCAATATGCTTAATTGTGTTGTCATGCCGTTTACCATTATTGTGTTACATGATGCTGCATGTTTGAGGTGATGCCTGTGGCACAGAGTGGCATGACTAGACGTCTAGTGTGGCCTTGAGGGCACACGACTGGGTATGACTGGAGGAGTGGTGGGCATGTCTGGGATACTGACCCGTCTTGGGGCGAGTGTTGCGCGTTTTCAGACATTCAAATTTTTATTCGGGTAAAAGTACATAATAGATGAAGAGTAACAAACATAATGTTGGATTTATAGATAGAGCTAGTACATACAATGCCTAAAGCCACTAATACGCATAGCGTTTCGGGCAAAGTTTCGGGCCACATAATGGGAGCAGCCCTGTGGGAGATGTGCCAAACTTTAATTGTTACTAGCTTTCCACATATATTAATTGCTTGTAGTTTAATATAATCAGGAGTACAGTACTTGAACCCATTATCTGATACTGAAACCATTTTAACACTATTAGGATGATTATGGGAATTTAATTGCAGTCCCCGTGGCGAAGTGGCGACACACTCGTCTGGTGTTTCCCAAGCGCTTTGGCCTGGGGATCATATCCTGGCCGGGGAGGATTTACTGGGCGTGGATACCTAATTCTTAAACGATTTGGTGGGTCATATTCCAGGGAAAATTACGATTAAGGACTTTTTCCCTGAAACGCTATGCATGTTAGTGGCTGTACGAGAATGTAAAAACTCGTGTATATATAAATAAATAAAACATGATACCAATGTTCACTAGTATGTAAACTACTGTAGTCCCTGGAGATAAATTGACATAACTCGCACAAAATCTATAACTTTTTTGAAGATTAGATATGGTTAGGATAGGGTATGTTACCATAGGATAGCTATGGTTAGGATAGAATACTGTATAATAAGTAGTTTTCCTTAAAGAGTATTGATGACAGATGTGCATAACTTTTGACCCTTTTTGAACCCTCCCTTATGGGGTTATGATAATAGTTAAACTTTTAATTGCTTTGATGTATTCATTTATTTTTTATTTATTTATATACAAGATACATTGGGGGTTAACAGAGAACAAAGAAATTAAGTTTAATTTACATTCTTGTAACGCCACTAGCATGCATACCATTTCGGGCAAGTCCTTAAGCTAACATAATTTTTTAGATAATTTAAAAGTAAAATTGACAAAAAAATGTTTACAGGTACTTTACAGCTTTACTTTACAGGTACAGATAATTTTTAAGTAGATTAATTACAGTAATATAGACAACAAAAATTTACAGGTAGATTTCAAGAAATTTTGACACAAAATTCATGGGTGTAACTTGCTTAGCTAAAAGAATTTGAGAATTCAGTTCCAGAACTTATTATGTGCCTGTGTAATCTATTGCACAACCACTTGCATTATGTACATGCAATGCATAATAACATAAATTAACTGGTAAATCAGATAAATTAACTAAATAAAAAAACTTAATTTCTGTATAGAGGTCCAGGGAGGTGCTGCCTGATACAGGTAGTCATAAAACTTAGTTTCTTTGTAATTTATAGTGCAAAATCTGTTGTTTATTGGCCCTAACAGGAATTTGGGGTTTTATCAGTGGTTCCCCTCCCCTTCCCCCAAATTATTTCTGAGGCTTTTATTCTAGATGAATTTTGAACTAGAGTGGTCTAAATTTATATCCTCCAATTGGTTTTAGTATTTAAGTCTTGAGATAAGCCATGTCATGCCTAATAATAATAATAATAATAATATTTAGGCTAAGTACTGTACATAGGATTCAAGCAGGTTGTATGTTGATAAGTCACAATAGCGTGGCAGAAGATGTGACCAACCCACACCAGAAAAAGAAGAAAGTACATTTCAGTCTGGCCTGGAACATTATAAAGTTGACTTGATAATGGTCTAGGACAGACCAAAACATCGTTTCTTCATTTTCTTATCAATTGTGACACTAGCTCTCCACATATGTCGGTTACCTTATTTAGAAAGTGTACTTTTGGTCTGTCTCAAGCCCATTGTTGTGACAATAGCATTGAATTTTGTAAACATCTTGAGACTAACTTGCTTAGCTAAATGAATTTTGGGGTTCAGTCCCTAAGCCCATTATGTGCCTCTGTAACCCTTTCCACTCCCACCCACAGAATGAGTATAGGGTGCATAATAAATGAACTAAACTAAATTCTGATGTGTGGGTTGGTGGTCATCAAAGATTGTAGGATTCGTGGGTAAGGCAAGCATGATATCTAAAGCTTACCGTGTAATTTATTCCACACTCAAGGTCATCGTTTATAGTGGGGATCAAGCCCCTAGGTTGATTAATTAGCGTGATCGATCCAGACCTCGATCATTGCTCTTGTATTACTGATCCCACCGCTGCCACCATTGTAACACGGGTTTTGGTTCCTCTCTCTTTACTTCCTCTACCTTCTACTCCCTCTACCCGTATTCTTACTTTTATTTCTAAACCAAGGGACTCCAAAACTTTTAACAAAGCCAACTCCACGCCACGTGGTCCTAAGACGATTGACCGACTTAGGATTCTACACCCAGTATGACGTGACCTAAGCTCTGAACAAAACCCTAGAGTCACCTCTGCTGCCACCACCAGACCAGTAATACAAGAGCAATGATCGAGGTCTGGATCGATCACGCTAATTAATCAACCTAGGGGCTTGATCCCCACTATAAACGATGACCTTGAGTGTGGAATAAATTACACGGTAATGATAATTCCGATTCGATGTTAGAATCGGCGCCCAATGCAACTCTGCCTCGTGTGGACCACGTGACCAGGACAAGTATACACATAAAACACATGGAAACAATAAAATGCAAATTAATAACAAATTTAATTTATTAAAAGAAAACTAAAACAAAATCTAAATGTGTTCACTCCCTATCACTTTAACACTCCCTACTTGACCTGAATGGCAAATGAGACTATTTCTATACATAACCATAGCAACTATACCTTGGGCGACCACAGCTCTGGGTGTTGGGTGGTCTTGGGGAGAGGTAAGATGTTGACCTCTTATCCCAGCTGCTTCCGTGACCACACTGATCTGTCCTCGTCTGATCTCGCCCAGACTAGAACATTGTATTGTTCCGCATCGCTTACCCAGTTACTTTAGCAAGGTTAAGTTATAACAATTATCCTCTGTTTATACTGAATTGATCCAGACTGGTTGAATTATTTTACTTTAATTAGATTACACAAACATCTAACGGCAAAGCTGTTCCCGATCACAAAAATGGTTATTAAAACTTTGAGAAATATTAGACATGTCAACCCTGCTGACCTATGACCGCCGGTCACTCCGCTTTAAAAGTTAGATCTGATTCGTGACGTCACTGATGGTGACTTAAACTCAATAATTAGAATACTCTTGATATTGTATCCAGTACTATTATACAATACAATTTTAATGCAAAATGAATAAAGGCTAATTTTCTCTAAATTACTGAATACTATAGGATGATTCATTATACGCAGCTATGAACAAAGCGTTGGTTATTTCCACCGCGAATTCCCCTGGGGGTCAGGTCACCATGCGGCTCAGCTTCCCATTCTCTTTTGTCGATAAACCACTCTGGATAATTCTTACAACAGCCTAGTTTGTTACACCAATACACAGCGTTTTAGCTATAATGTGGGAATACACTGAAGACTTAAAACTAAATGAGAACAAAGCAATAATGAATTGAGGTAGAGAAATATAAATAAAATGACAAAATGATTGGTTAAGAAAAAATTGCAACTGAGTAACAGATAGTAATTGTACAGAAGGAACAATTTATTTTGACTCGGGAGAAGTCCTCAATCATTCCTGGTATGAGAGCTTTCATTTCTGGAATGTTTTTTGTTACTGTGTTGGCCTTATTCCAAAGTAGAGGGTCCGTCTAATTACCACAAGCTACACAAAGCTTCCTGACAATACGTTAGTAATGAATAAATATGATATGTTAGGTTAGGCTGACCTGACCTGACCTAACTTAACCTAACCGACGCTTGGATCGTCGACTTGATTTGACGTCACCAGCTCTTTATTTTCGTCTAATTTCTTTATAAAAAGATACTTTTTCAGATTAAAATTGTTTTTTCGTGTTGTACATTTAGCACCAACATTATAATGAGTAAATATATCATATTTATTCATTACTAACGTATTGCCAGGAAGCTTTGTGAAGCTTGTGTAGCTTGTGGTAGCTTGTGGTAATTAGACGACCGCAAAGTAGATACAGTACCTTGTATCTGTGGCTTGCACTGTGGCAAAATTCACTACATGCACTACAGTGCATGTAGTGAATTTTAATTTTTCTTTATTCACCGAGTGACACCAGATGTGTTGCTGATTCAAGGCCACCTCAGGCAGTCTAATTTGTCTTTCTAATATGTCTCACTGCTACACAGAACACTATTAATTTTAACATTATTATTATAACGCCTACCAATTTGTTGTCAACTACCATTCAAGCTGTCATTGCAATCAATCTTAGCTACCTATGTGCTTTAATATACTGTACCTACAATTTTCTCTCATCTTTTTTTTTTCATTTCATGTAATCTGTTATCATTTTTTTGTCTATAAATTTTGCAAGTATTTACCTCCTTAAAATTTTCTTAGATTAAGGACCTGCCCGAAACGCTGCGCATGCTAGTGGCTTTACAAGACTGTAATTACCATATTTGTATCCTCACATTCCTTATGTACATTCTTGTATATGCATAAATAAATAAATAAATAAATAAATTATTATTGGTTTGGTGCTCTAAAATGGCTTGGATACAAAAAGTATAATTCTGCCAATTCTCTCTATCATGAATTGTTAAGGTAGCTACTGTAATTGGAAACTAGGAGTGCTAATCTCGCATCATACTTCACCATTTAACCTTGTTTATAGTATTGTACATTAGAAAATGATTACAAAGCCCTTACAGTCTATACAAAGGGTATCTGCCAGGAATGCCATAGTTCTGTCACTGGTACAGCAACAGCCTGTCTGAACAGATAAGGTCAGAATAGATATCTGCAATGGTCTCTTAGTATTTTTTAATTTAATCAAATTTTATTTTAATTGTTTTGTACAGTCAAAGCCAGGCGAGGTAACACAAGCTGTCAAGGATGCCATAGACTGTGGATATCGCCATATTGACTGTGCACTTGTTTATGGCAATGAGCCAGAAGTTGGTGCTGCTATTAAGGCCAAAATTGAGGAAGGTGTTGTGAAACGTGAAGATCTCTTCATAACAAGTAAGGTAAGACACTTTTTTTTTTTCTATTTCAATATTTAACATAATCATGGAAAAGTTGAGTACCTTAGGTCTTTACAGTAGATATGAAGAAATGACAGCAAAGGCATGGTGCATCAAAGGTAATGGTGCAAATAGAGAAACCACACCATGTTGATGGCAATGCCAAACGACTTCAGAGATGTGTGTGTTGTTGGTCTTCAACATGCAGCATTTGGCATCTTTTTGATAATTACTTAATCATGCAGTACTGGAGAAGGTAGTCCTCAAACACGGCTTCAGTAATAAGTTGCAAAAGACTGGTACTGTACCCTACATAAAGCAAATGCTAAAAGACTCGTATGCCCCTTAAACTAAGATACCAGTTTACAGGGAAGCCCATTGTAAAGAAAACATAATCGGATACTGTAAAGCTAACAAAATTATGAATGAACACTAGGAATAAAAATGAAGTTTTCAAAGTTCCCGACCATGTTGGATAGTGGGAACATCTGGTGAGTCAATATAACTTTCATCTAGTAACAGTAGTTTCATGTATGATAATTGGTCTTAATACTTACAATTCTAGCTTCCAGGGGGCATTTGAAGGTTATCTGTTCTTTTAGTATTATAGTGAGCAAATACATTTGGTGGCTTGGCACATTTGTCTTCCAGTCCTCTTTACCTTTATTCATGACAGTACCCACAAGCAAAGAACATTGGCACTATGATAGGTTGAAAAGTTGCGGGAAGAATCATGTAGGCTTTTGCAATGGGAGCAGCAAAATGGCCATATATTAGACAATTCTGCATATAATACAGAAGGGGTTTCCAACTATGGCCTGTGGGTCACATCTGGCCTACCATAAGATTGTATCTGACCTGCAGCAACTTCAAATAATTATTTGAATTAATTATATATTTCAAGTCATTGTAATGATTCGCTCCTCCAGCTTGAAACCTCAATTCGGCAATATTTTGAAAATTAAAAAGCAGATCCATCATATCTATTAATCTTGTGCAAAAGTGCATGATTTGTTGGTTATGATTGAAATTTCCTGTTGCCAGCCAAGAGTAAATGAGCTTCTGTTTCTTGAAAATGTCTGTCTGGCTGCCTTTCATTGTACAGTACTGTATTTCCAGATCTGTATTTTGCCAAGCAGTAAGGAAATAATAATTTGATTATACTGTATATATAATATAATTATATAATATATATAATTTTATTATATAGCAGTATAATTTTATTTTGGAATTCTATGATTATGGACTTGTGTAGAAAATGGCAAAATATACTTTTTTCTCTCTCTCTCTCTCTCTCCAGTGTAACCCTTGTATGGTTCTTAAGTTTGGAGACTCCTACTGTATAGAACTTGAATTCTTTATTAGATATAATATTTATATATATTTTTCTATATTTAAATAAGTTGGTATGTAATCTGAGAGACCTTTTAATAATTCTTTACTTTAATAATTACTTGACGTGAGACCTTTAGTTACATTTACGCTTGTAAGCGGTTTTGACTGAACGGGTTGTACCCTACATGGCTATTTTATTATTTGGTAAATAAAAGTTGTTCCCCCTTGCAGCTGTGGAACACCTTCCATAGCAAGAGCTTGGTGATCCCTTCTTTGAAGCAGTCACTGACCAACTTGGGGCTTGATTACTTGGACTTGTACCTTATTCACTGGCCTATGGGTTACAAGGTGAGTTCTGCACAGTCCTATCCATGTATGGAAAAGATTTTATTTACCTGTGGTCAATGTAGAGTAGCCAAGAACCAGATAAAATATGTTTACATATAATTACAGTATTGATATTTTTTAATTTTCATTTTTGTGTATTACTTTCTGCAGTTATGTGGAATATAAATCCCCAGTAGTTCAGTATTTTTTAATATGCATACATCATTGACAGTATGTATATAATTTGAGTTGCTTGTTACTGTGTCATTGTTTACAAGCCTTGATCGCAAAATATTGTATCTTAAGTTCTAACGATAGGCTAAGCATTGGTGTCAGAGTATTAATCATTTTATAGCATGGGAGCACTGTATTAGTATCTGGTTATAAGGCAGTGTAGTATTGGTCAAAAGCTATCTTAAAGTGATAGATAAGATAACTTTTCATAGTTTGATTTTCTCGTAAAATATAAGCAATAGGCAGGATTCTAAATATTACCATGCTTTCATTATGCTTTAAAATACCAGGAGAATACTGAACATTTGTTTATAGAATGATGTGGGAATGTTTAAATATTATAGTAAATTTATAACTATTGGGAAACTTGGACTCTGTTTGAGAGGGAACTGTTTATAATGATCTTGCCAGGCACATTAAAAAATATAAAGCCTGTAAGTAACCAGGTAAGGCAGGTCTACTAAACTTTAGGTAGATTTAGTGTTTATGTATAAGCCTTATATTGTATACACCACGCGTGTCGGTAGAACTCAAAGTATGACGAAGCTGTTTCTAGACGAGATAGCTTTAATCATTTTTCTTGTCCACTTTTAAGACAAATGTGTTTTTACAGGAAGGAGGAGAAAATTTCCCAGCAGATGAGAGTGGAAATACACTCTACAGTGATGTTGATTACGTTGAAACTTGGCTTGAAATGGAGAAGACTGTTGACTTGGGCCTTACTAAGTCTATTGGTGTGTCCAATTTCAACAAAGATCAAATAGAGCGCGTCCTTAAGGAAGGGAAGGTTATTCCAGTTACCAACCAGGTATGAACGTTCATGTTAAAACTTTAAAGTTTACATTTTATATTGGTTAATCATTGTAAAGTTTCTTATGGATAATCCAGTTTATATCTTTAAATTTTTGTAAATGCTTATTCTAAGCTGTACCACTCTAGTGCTTCTTTTGGCAAGACTGCCACCTGCCATCAGGTTTCTGAGGATGTCTAATCTGATGTGCTTATGAGTTGTGGGGCACTTGTTTATTCCAAAAGTGGAATACACCATCATAAAGCTCCTACCAAGGCAAAATACTCGGTTGTTCAAGACACTGTTTGTGAAAGTGCGAGTGGTGAGGGTGTTAGGTGCTCCATTTGAGCCCCATTCCAGGTTAAGGCCTGTCGTACAGCTGTGTGGTTGTGTTGGAAGTTGATCGACCTCCAACACCACCACACTATGGTCTGGCTGCAAAATTGCTTACCTAGCCTTCCCTCCTTTTCCATGTTGATGTAAGTGCAGCACTGGTGGGTTGATGTAGCTGTTTGAATGATGGTTCCTTATTTTTTTAAGGTTATGCCGTGCATGATTTCTATGAATTTTTATATTTTTTCCACCATCCATTCAACATGAGAAGGCGTGCTAACCTATCGGTGATTATGGAAGAAGTGAGGTCTAGCTCGTAAACCCCACATCCTGGCTGTGATTATACTTGGGTTGATAATTACCCCTCTCAACATTAGCATTTTTATCAAATCTCTTACAGTTGTGGATGGAATTTGCCTCAACAACCTTGAATTCATTCCATTTGCCTACCACCCGTATAGGGAACGAGAACTTCCTTGCATCTTTTCGACTTGTTGCATGTCCAGCGTTCACCAATGTCCCCTTGTCCTACGTCTCTTTAATTTAAATAGGCTTCCTTTATCCACTTTATCAGTTCTCTGCAAGATCTTGTAAATACCAGTACAGTAGTTATCGTATCCCCCATTTTTTTTTATTTCTTCTCAAGAGGCAAGAGGTTGTGAGGCAGAGTTCTCCCAACTTGTCCTCATAGCTAGACATAATGCAATGAGACTTGGGTAAATTATTCATGTGAATCTTGCTGCGGGTTCATCTTTCCAAGGAAGTGTGCTTAATGTTCGGTCTACTGTCACTTTATGCTGAAGCTTGCTTATACTTCTCAATTAAAATATGTGCCTATTAAAATTAGATTTAATTTTCATCACAATTTATTAGTCTACTTTTGTCATTGGCTTGATCTCAAATGGCTTTCTAATTGTATGTTCATATTTTAGGTAGAGTGTCATCCATACTTGAATCAGAAGAAGTTAATAGAGTACTGCAAGTCCAAAAACATACAAATCACTGCTTACAGTCCCTTGGGATCTCCTGACAGGTAAGGAAAAAGAGTACATGTAATTATGTTGTGCCTTAGGGTAAACTGTAAGGGTTTACTTTAGAAGACTTGGTCATGTTGGATGTGATTACAGTTTACAATAAAAAATTACTGTAAATCATGAATTTACATATAGTAGACTCGGTTCTTCGAAGGAATACATTCCTTGGGACTACTTGGTAAACTGGCTTTGCTATTGTATGTAAGAGTCTTCTTGGTCTAGGCAAATTGGATGCTTTCCAGTACTGTACATGAATTGGAAAGTTAAAAAACTAAAAAAAAAGTCAAATGTGAAGATATTTTAGTATATGCATTTACATAATTTTTCAGATACAAATCCAAAATTCTGCATTACATCATACCGGACCAAATTTGGAAATCCCTCAAATTTGTCCCTTTTTGGGCTATTAACCAACACCAAATTTTCAGATTTTTCTTATAGGGAAGGGGAGACAATTAATATTGATATATTTTTGACACCTAAATCAATCTTTGTTCTTAAAAGGTTTCAATGTTTGTCGATTCTTTTCCATCACTACTCTTGTTTGTCAGGAAACGGCACTAGTACCAGTGCATTACTCGTCCTCCTTTATGGTATGTGCAATTTGAGTGAAAGTTGTTCCTCTTGATGACTGTACAGCTGGTAGTGTTGAGGGGATGTCACAATGGCACATCACAGGGCCATAACAAGCTTGGAAGTTGTTGTTACTTTCAGTTGATGCAAGGGTGACAACTGAAAGAGCTGCGTTTTAGAATTAGACCAGATGCACTTGGCAGCGAGGGCTGAGTGTTGTGTTTATGGCTCAACTGATCATTGCTGCTTTTGTAGGTAGGGTTTTGTTTCCTGTTTGAGTGTCCCATTGGTTTGAGTTAAATAAACAGGTAAATTTTGGCCTAAGATTTTGGTTGACTGGAGATATTTAGCTAATACTTTGGTTATAAGTACAGGTATTGAGAGATCTCCTTCCCCCTAATATAAACTTGATATTGAAAAGCACTTTGAGGGTGTTAAGTACTTGTTTAAAATTGTAGCACTATGATGTCAGAAATGGTGAAGATGTTCAATTGTCTTTGGAACATGGCAGTGGATCTAGAGTTCATGTGTGTCCTGTATTTATATCTGTGAGCTTCTAGTTTGGTGTGTCGCAGCCTTACTCCCTTGCTAGGCTTTTTCCTCCAACATTATTATCCATGGTAAGGAAGTTGTTCTTGCTTTGATGTTACCTACTACTCTTGCAGCACATGATTTAAACTCCCAAAGAACAATATACTGAAAGAAAAGCCAGTGGAATATTGAATGACTAGAGATCAGACCACACTCGCAAAAAAAGCACAATGCCTGTATGCATGCCATCATGGCAGGTCTGGATATCTCTGAAAAGTTGTCACACTTGCTTGTTTGTGCAGTTCATCATAAAAAAAAAATTAGGTATAAGCACTGAACTTCATTACTCCCAAAGTTCTAACAAGGCAAAGTACTGTACTAGAGTTTCTTCTATTTTTCTCGACTTCACTTGTCATGGCTTCTCGAAAGATTTCTATTTTTTCACCTTGCCACCACTCTGACTTTGTTGTTGTTTTTAGCAGGCAGTCTGTGTATGAAGTATATATTATACTTTTAGTTTAGATTATTTATCAAAGTTAACTTTGGATAGTATTAGTCATTCTTAAATAATTAACTTTTGTTACTACAGGCCATGGGCCAAACCTGGTGATCCTCTAATAATGGAAGATCCAAAGATTGTGGCCATAGCTGACAAATACAAGAAGTCACCAGCTCAGATTCTCATTCGCTATCAGGTACGTTTTATTGATGCAATGTGTTACAGCAAGTACTGAGACACTGAAACAGTTCATGTGATTTGTATGTAACTCCTTGATATTGCTGTACTAATATTGTGGTAATATTCCAAACAGTGAGCTTAGGTTGTCTTGCAATTACTCTACCCCAAGTAACCACCAGAGAGAGGGTGTAACCATAACCATACAAGTTTTAATATCCCAATCCACACATGAAAAGAAAGGAAAGAAATTGTCAAGACTTGCTCTCTGCATACAAATTAACATTTTAATTAAAAGAATTATATAAAAACAAAAATGATGAAGTGCACATTTACCTGGTAAATTAATATTAATAAATCACTTGGGCCAATTTGGCATTTGAATGTGAAATCTGTGTAAATTCATCAAAAGCAAAGAACTTGCATAAACATTGATACTATTGTGAGCTGCAATAAAGAGCTTTTTAAGGATCATAACTCGTGGAAATCTTCAATGCTTATAAATACTCTTTATCATAACACTAAAAAATACACGCTGAAGTGTGATACAAAATATGCAGACTGTAACTTAGTATGGTTATTAAAATTTGAATTTTTTTCTCAATAACATCAAAATCTAATGCTCTTCCTAATTTTGCATCTAACTTAAACAGAGGGCTCTCCACAAGTTGAACAGCTCACTATAGTATATCTTGGTGAGGAGTGCACAACAGCAGAGTACTTCACATTTCAGCTGAGTAGACACATTACACTCTGAAGGCTATAATTAAAGATTGAGTGTATACCAATAGGGTTTGGGACAGGGTGAACACACATGAATGATAGACTGATTAGTGTGTGCTTAATGTGAATTTAAGCAGGGGAAAAAGTTGGATATTTGGAAGCAGGTATAAAAAAAAGCTGGGAGTGTGATAAAGACAACTGGAAGGTAATTTGTAAAATATATAGAGTAGTAACAATTCATAAGGAGCTCTGTAAACTTACACTTGCAAAGCAGTGGAGTACTGCTGTGGATGATTACTGGAGGGGTAGGCATTTTTTTTTTTTTTGGGTATAGTGTTGCATACAACATTGCAATTACATGTTTCTCTGGGCTGATGCCCCATTGTACCCAATGAGAATTGGAGGGGGGGGAACCAGAATGAATGAATGGGACATATTCCACTTAAAATTTATTATTTTTTAGATGCTTCTTATGCATTTAAAGTTTAGATGTTTTAACAAGTTACAATAAATATCTTGGCAAGTTACTATTGGTTACATTTCTTTTCAACAAAATATCATGATACAATAGTTACCTTTACATGTATTTCAATCCAAGTACAATTTTAGAATGCAGTATCATAATTTCAGATACAACGAGACCTCATTGTCATTCCCAAGTCTGTCACCAAATCTAGGATCGAGTCTAACATTCAGGTATGTTGTGGTTTTAAGAAATAAAGTGCATCAGTGTTCTTATAGTGGGTTAGTTGCATTAGATTTAATTTTTAGGAAATATTTAGCACATTTTGAATGGCAAGTCTTGTCAGTGGTGGCTTGCCTGTACCAGCTTCAGAGTTGCATTTTCCCAGACATTCACTGCCAGGTGTATGACTATCAACCTCATGCTAGAATAAGAAGCGTCTAACAAACTTATCATAAAATGTCTTATAAATTTATTGAAAATAACATTGAAGTTTTGACAATTTTCATTAGACAAAATGGAGGTTTCATGCTGTACGATAGTGAGACAGTCCCTCCATTCTGTGTTGCCACAAGCTGCCATTGAATCCTGTGGAAGTGAAAGTTTCAGAGTACACTTGAACAAATGTGGTTTAAAGCTTATTTTGTTTCAATTTACAAGCACTAAAGTTTGTAATGTTCGGCAAACAAATATGATTGGTATAAAAATTTACGTAGCCTAAATTTAGTATTAAAATATTCAAGGATGTATGGCACATGATTATCTTGAGATGATTTCGGGGCTTAGCGTCCCCGCGGCTCGGTCCTCAACCAGGCCTCCTTTATGTTGTTACAGTTTTATTTACAAAGTTACACAATGGTAAACAGTATTTTTTTTATTTGTATTCATATAGTGTCGGTTTTATGATAAACATTTGGAATTCACTAATAATTACAGGCAAGTTTGATCATTCTTTGAGCATATCATAAACTGGTGAAAGGTTTACACAAGGCATGTAAACTGGTGAATGTTTGCAAACTGTTGTTTTACAGCTACTGTATTTTAATTTAATGCCCTGACAGCTTTGAAAGTTCCTAAGGTTCCTCTTGAGTATAAACTTCTCGGTAATACTGTATTCCTATTGGAATTTACTCTTTTTGCTTGTTATTTGATCAACCAAACTCACTGGTATTTTTATTTATTTCACGTGTAATAGTTACAAAAAGTTTTTATCAAACATCAGTAATAGTGAAAAATACAGAACTACAAATTAGTGAAGTACAGTAGGTTTAGATATCATGGTGTATGTTGATTTAATTAGGTTTATGGGTCTGTAACCCATAAAAAATTTGTGGAAGGAATAAGACTTTCTTACTCTCTGTACAGGTGTTTGACTTCGAATTATCTGAGGAGGACGTGAAAACTCTTGATAGCTTTGATTGCAATGGCCGTTTTCTCCACTTAAATCAGTAAGTGTTTCCGATGTTCTTTTTGTGCTCTACTCATAAGAGGTAATTTGAAAAATAGGGCTTAGGGGATGGGCCATTGTGAAGTCTGGAGAGGGGGAGAGGGGTGGAAAAACTCCTCTCCACATTTCCTCCATCTTACCCATCTCATCTTGCCTCCCAATTCCACCATCAGTAAAAACAGCCCTACCTACACTTCTTTCTGTATTTGTTTTTGCACTTCCAATTACCTTGGCCTGGCTTAGTGACTCCTAGATAATCTCTTTAATAACCATTGCTAAATCACTTCTCTCAATTTTTTCATTTTATTTTCCACCAGTGGCATTTTAACAAGCAGGCTGGAAAACACTCCTTGCCCTCTATGCCTTATGTCATGTCTTCCTATCCCTTCTCGTTAATACGTATACGTTATGTATACATGACATATACCAGGGGGGGGGATAAATTGTTGGATATAAGATAAATTTAAACAAATTTGATTAGTCTATTGAAGGGTGTAGTGTCAGTACTGTACATAAAACCTTCAATTCTGACTAACTCCTGAACATATAATTTATATCAATATAGAAAACAAACTGTATTCCAATTATATCCTATGTTGATACAGTAGTACACTAGCACAATATGTTATTGTAAAGTGTTCGATGTTTTTACACTTTGACACTTGCCATTGTGAATATTTTCATGGGGGTGCTACCATCACTAGCATACATCCTGAAAAATTAGTAAATCAGATTAGTAATGTGAAATAAGAGATTTTAACACAGTACTGCATATTTCAATTAAAATTGATTAAGAGTTGGAGTCTGTACATTTTTACGGACTCCAACTGCAGTAACACAAGAATTGCATCAGACTTGGTCCACTGCCCTGGTTCTCTACCCCCAGTGTCTTTAAATTTACTTATTGACCATAATCATTCTTTTGCAATATTATGTATTTAGGGATTCTTCCTTGATTTGCCCTTCTATGTTCGAGTTGATTTAGCAAGATGTGCGCTGATGTACATTCTTCTTCCTAGAGTGAAGACCCACAAATACTGGCCGTTCAACACCGAGTTCTAGAGCAGTTGGTGATGCCACAGGATCGACAAGCCGTATTCAAGGAAATAATTTGGAGTAAAACTAGATACAGTGTCCTAAAGAAGATTGCTTTGTTCATTACTTGAAATATGTCAATTTCAGTGCTAAATTACAATGCTTTTGTAAAAGGTTACACATTTTTGGCAAAGCCCCCTTTTTTTTTAAATATTCAATATGGATAATCTTATTTGGAATACCAACCTAATTTATTGGAAATAAAGTTACTATTATATTTTTTTCCATTTTATTACCAGTAAATGTATCCAAGTCATATTTACAGTATTTGATGAAGGCTAAGTGTATAATGTGCGTATAAATTCTTGCAGTATCATACGTCTTTCCGCTCTATGTATAATAATGTAAAGGGATGGCAGATTTAACATGGATAGTGACTGGAATGCTGTTACTCTAATAGTATTTAATTACTATAAATTTTTTCTAAGATTCTTTCCTTGGAGGGGAGGCTAAGATTTATTTTGAGGCCTTTGAACCATTGAAATTGGTTTTGCTAGCCTTTCCTTATTGGCATCCACAGTGATATTTAATGCATTTCAAATATCCTGTGACAGTGCTACAGAGTCTTCCTGACTTGGTGCTGTTTTTTTAGTTACTTTTAACAGGTTGTACTGCATACTTTATTTTCCAATACCGAAAGTTTCTTTAGTGTATATTTTTTTCATACCTGTTACCGCACCATAAAATATTTATCATTCTGAAACTTCCAATTCCAGCCATGTATTATGGACCACTTTCTCCATCACTTTGTACATTCATGTGACATTACTTGAGGGGAGGGGGGGAATGATAGAATAAGCAACATGTATATCTAATTTTATTCATGTCAAATTGTCCTGGTTGGTTACCTGGCAACTCTCGTCTTAAATGTTAGTCGTTTGCCTTGTGAACACTTCTATAATTGTCTGAATAAAAAACTAAAGATGGAATCATGGGCTTGAAAGATTCCTCAAGGAATTTACACCATTGATCAATGTTGGAGGTAAAACGGGTGAGGAGTCTTATTTATTTTTGGCCCATACGAGTCACAGTACAACAAGGAAGCACTTTACTGTGAGTAATAGAATTACTTTAATTGCAGTAATTTTTATTCAGTTATTTTGAAACAGTTATTTTAGGGCCTCTTGCAGTGGTTATGAAAATACATAGGCATGTACAGGATTTAGAGAGGAGGTAAGGTAATTATCAAAAGAAGGCGCCAAACCGGGGATTTAGAGAGGAAGTAGCTAGTGATGAGGATTTGAAAATGCTGTTGTCGGAGTGAAAAGTACATTAATAATGGCTGAAATCTGACGACCAGGAGTCTGATTCTTCAAACAGTTACGCAAGCACTTACAGACCTGTACGCTGCCAGGGCACTGCATGTTCTACAGGGGCGCCCATGAAAGCTGCTCTTTCGTCAGATTCATCTACACGTTCACTGCATTCTGATACTCTGCTGACTCAAGCACTTTGCGTAGTACAGGACTTACAGCTTGCGTTTCCGACTTCGTCGCCTCCTGGAATCTAGCAGTGATTCCCTCGTTGTCCTAACTACGTGCCTACATTACCTCCTAATGTCCTGGTGCCCGAGCCCATCCGCCCCGGATCTAAATGCTCCACCAGCGACCCAAGGACGCAACAATTATGCACATTCTTCTCTCCTGCTACACTGAGCTTGTCCACACACTGCCTACATCTTTTGGTACCAGACTACAATTTCCACAGTCAACAATGCAGTACTCGGAGTGTACAGTCCTAATCAACCCAAGACGCTACAGCTTCGACACAGAGCAGACAGCAGACTACGACCGCATCGAGCCGCCACGCTCTCGCTCCCCGAGTTCAGACACTCACAATTCTCAATCGAGCCGCCATGCTCTCCCACATAGAGCTCCACGACTCCGGCCTCACTCAGTTCTCTGCTCTGCTCCAGGCTTCGTCTCAACGTCTGCGACACTGCTAAATCCAGAGACACATCCGCCGACTACGCAGTTCACTTTTCGACCACAGTTACCAGCAGCACCGCCACCTACGACAATCCTGTACGACCTCCCACCCTACAACCCCAGTTACCAGCCGCACCACAACCTGATCCTACGACGACGGACGATCCTGTGCGACCTCCCACCCTACGACCCCAGTTAGATGACATCAGCGAAGAGGAGGAAGTTAACTTTGATGGTTATGTAATGCGAGCAGGGCGTACAATTCACTGAACGGCTAAGTTCCTTGATCAAGTATTTTTCCTTTCATCCCCTGGGAGGGGGAGTTCTGTAGCGAGTAGATTATCCCAATAATATACTCGCTCCAAATGCATTGTTAATATTCCTGACAAGCTTTAGAGATGAATGAGGTGAGGCGTTGCCCGGGCAACACGGTGAGGTGTTGCCCGAGCATATAAGCAGCAGAATAGCAAACATTAACCAGAGTCTACTTTCAAGTGTGGTCTAGAGTAGACACTTGCGAGATACTGTACCGACGCTCAGTGCGCCCAACTCACACCAAAGTATCACCTGTGTACTTCTGTATATTCGACCAAATATATATATAGTATCTTAGTGTCTGTGTTTATTTGTCACCATACTTTACGTAACAATAGAACCGTTACACATGGTTGGAAGTTAAATCAACTCCATAGAACAATATTTTTGTTATAGATACTAATCATTATTTGTTGGTATGCGTTCGCTACTTAAACTATCATGTACTGTATTTATGTAAAATCTCCCTGTTTACAACAATACAATTTTATTTAGGTAAGGTACATACATACAATAAATATTTACAAGGATTGTTTGACTTATAGGTAGAGCTAGTACATACAATGCCTAAAGCCACTATTACGCAAAGCGTTTCGGGCATGATAAACTTAAATGACAAGCTTAATACTAATTGAGCATAATGAGTAGAATGAAAACAAGAAATGAAAACATAGATGAAAAAGCAGCACAAATACAATTATGTCGACAAACAGCGCTCTTTAAAGAAAAAAACAGACATTGGTTGACAATAGAAGGGTAAGGTAGGTTACAGGGAATTTATTAGGTATAGCTTCGCTTTTAACTTAAACTGGTTGAGAGAGGTACAGTCTTTAACATGGTTGGGAAGGTCATTCCACATTCTGGGCCCCTTGATTTGTAGAGCATTTCTAGTTTGATTAAGTCGTACTCTAGGAATATCAAAACTGTATTTATTTCTGGTGTGATGCTCATGGGTTCTGATACAACCTTCTATGAAGCTTTTGAGATCAGGATTGGCATTATAGTTTAGCGTTTTATATATGTATAATACACATGAGAGAATGTGCAGTGACTTAATGTCTAACATATTCAGAGATTTAAGTAGGGGTACCGAGTGATGTCTGGGGCCAGAATTGGATATTGTCCTAATAGCAGCTTTGTGTTGAGTAATTAGAGGACGTAAGTGATTTTGGGTAGTAGAGCCCCAAGCACAAATACCATAGTTGAGATATGGATAGATAAGGGAGTAATAGAGAGTCACCAGGGCAGGGCGTGGTACATAATATCTGATCTTAGAAAGAATGCCCACAGTTTTTGAAACTTTTTTTGATATGTTTAGAATGTGTCCCTGGAAATTAAGCTTGTGGTCAATGAGAATGCCAAGGAATTTGCCATCTAATTTGTTACAAATTTGGGTATTGTTTATTTTGAGATTTATTTGATTAGAGGATTTATTGCCAAACTTATTGTTTCTTCGGACATGGAACACGGAACCTTACACGCTCTCTGATTTACTGTTTAATAGAGATTCACAAATAAGCTTATGATTGTATACGTTATCAAAAAGGCAGTGACAAAGTCAATTTTGCATTTTAATCACAGAGATTAGATCTTAGTGAGATAGGAAAGATATTCATATTTTAAAGAAGGATTTTTGAACCATCGCTCTCCCTATCGATAGAAACTAACTTTTTTTTTGTTATTATTAACAAGCTTAGGTATACACAGTAATGTGCTGCTACCCTATTCTATATGAAAGATTACACAGTGTATATCAAAAACTAGCTATAAGTTCATTAAATATTCCCATCTCACAGGATGGTTAGTTATACATGGAATCAGGGGATAAAATACCAGCCTCAATAAAAAAAAATCAACTGTGACTAACAAGAACACCACTTACGGGCTATTCATGCCCGTGCTACCTTTTGGGTGGCTTAATCCTCATCAATCAATCACAAGAAACAAGGGATACATCTCCCGTCACGCAGGGTCCAGTCGCACCTCCACAGATCTCCAGTATCATCTATTGATACTGTTAATGGTTCAAGAGGACTACCACTTACGGGCCTACCTCAAGGTAACAATCAGGTGAGAACATAAAATATAAGGCTGATCTATTAGCCTCCGTTAGCAAAATCCGGGTACAGCATAAGAATATCTTCCAATATTCCTAAGTGTATGAAGTAATTACAGAGTTCAAAGTACCTTATACCATTTGGTCTGAAGTCACTTATAACAGGGCAATCACAGATATAGTGTTGGTGAGTATGTCCCAGCTCTTGTTCACATAGTTTACAATTGGAATATTCACCATTGGGGGCTATTCATTACCTGCAGCCACCTGCGATACATATCGATATCCTAGCCTAATTCTGGCAATTACAATGTCACACTGTCATTGTGACACTAGTGGAAGTTTTATGCTGTCCGTTCATATAATTCTCGATTCTAAACATGTTTACTTAGTTTAGTTCATTAATTATGCACCCCATATATCATCTTGTGGGCGGTAGTGGAAAAGGTTACAGAGGCACATAAACATGTCATAGCTCTTTATACTCTTGCTTTCTGGCTTTTGTGTGTCAGTGACTGCTCTTCTGTCTTCCCTAATTTCCTAAAATATTGCGGCTTTGACAGAAGAGATTGGAATGCCCATATCCCACTCAACTTCAGGCTTATCACATTCAGTTTTAGCTGCCTTGTTTGTGTCATCATGCTGGACAACACCTATATGAGAAGGTATCCATACAAATGAGACTTTGAAACTCCTACTGTTTGCAATAATAATGTTGTTTATAATGGAAGTTACAACTACAACCTTTTGAAGATCAATGCTAATTTTATCTAGATAATGTAATAAACGAAAGTTTTCTATGTCAACAGAAAGGCAGAAATATAAGCTACACTTTAAATACTTGTCATAAATATAACTGAAGTGAAAGCGAAGATATATGCATTTGATACTGTACAGTTTCTTGATGGCTTGCTCTAA